CCCCCCCCCCCCCCCCTCCTCCTCCTCCCCTTGGAGCTCTTGGCCCTCCCTCCCTATAAAAGGCTACAGCCGGTGAGCAATGGTTATTTTCGAAATGAAATGGCAGAGAGCAGAACGTCCACCTGAAGACGACCAGGATCTGACATTACCTCTAAAGAAACAACGGTTGTTGGCAAAGAAGTTGTCGGCTAAAGAAAGGGACAGAACTCGGATTAACATTGGCCTTGCATTTCCAAGGTGGAGAGCACTGTGAGAGCTAAAGGGGCTACAATCTGACTCGAAGCTAGCTCTTCTTCTCCTGGACAGGTACAACATAAAGTCAAATGTCTGTTTTAATTAGTGTTACAGTAACGTTATGCACATGTCGCTATGTTGATTCAATTAAATTTAATGTTACAATCGTAGCTTGGGTTAATGTCCTGAGCTTGAGTTATTAGCGGCTCGGTCCCAGCAATGGGTCAGGCATTACGGTTGTGTTAGGTGAGTAGCCCAGCAGCTCAGCTAACATTTGCAATTAGCATTGTAAAATGTAGCCCGGCGGGCAGCCTGGCAGCTGTGTTTAGCTATTCCCCTACCTACTTCAATGATGATGGTACCTGTAATAAATGCAATATATTTGCTGAAATGGAGGCGAGGCTCAGTGAATAGAAGAGCTGGTAGAAGTGCTCCATAGCTGCAAGCTACTCCAATAGCTGTAGTAGCTCTAGTGCTAACTCTGGGAGCTAACACTAACATTCCTCTCTTCTCCGTGAGCCCGCCAGGCTCCACGCTAGAGCTCGCCAGAGCCAAGAAGCAGGCTCCCGGAACGGTAGCATAGCAGCCGACTAGTGCTAACGCTAACATCCCCACGCTAGAGCTCGCCAGAGCCGAGAAGAAGGCTCCCGGAACGTTAGCATGGCAGCCGACTGGTGCTAACGCTAACGTCCCCATGCTTCTCGGCTCCGACTCACTGAGCCTGGCGGAGAAGCGTGGGGACGTTAGCACTACTCGGCTACCATGCTAACGTTCCAACTCTTCTCCGTGAGACCATGAGCCTGGCTCCCGGCTCAGTTGGAGTTGGAGCGTATGGTAGCCGAGTAGTGCTAACGCTAACAGGAAAGCAGGGAAATAGCTAAACACAGCAGAGACCGAGAGTGAGTGAAAGACATTGCTAACTGCTAAACTAAGTTGGCTGTTTAGGTTTTATTTCCTCGCCCCTGTGGCGAGTGAATCTGCCTGCAGTGAAAGCGGGGGCTAACCGGTGCTTCCTCCTCATGCACCACTTCACTCAGCTGCCTGACAGTCCCGCTGCTTCTTCCCACTTTAACCTGAATAACAAACAGGAGCTAGCTGGGAGCGGCTAGCGGAGCGTTAGCCACAGCATGACCGGAGGGAAACACAACCAGTTAGCCTCCGCTTGCTTCCCAGCTAGCGGCTCTCCGTTTGGATCCCACCGGAGCACCGAGCCTTGGTTTGTTATTCAGGTTAATGTGGGAAGAAGCAGCGGGTATATCGGGCAGCTGAGTGAAGCGGAGCCTGCGGAAGAAACACCGGGACCATCTGGATGTGATAGTCCGTGCTGCGGTACTCGTCTCGCCGGCACAGACGAGGCGAGGGGGAGGGGGGTGTTGGAGAGCAGAGGTAGAGGGAGGAGTGGCTCATGACACACTTTGTTTTGCTCTACAGGCAGTGCACAACAGCGAACCTAGCAGTGAAACAATTTCGCTTATTGCCCCTTTAATGCAGCATTTCCTTGCAGATCAATGAGCTCAAGCTGTAGAGATCCTGCATGTGCCCACTTGAATGTCTGTGTCACCTCCTTCGAAAATCCTCTGACTTCTCTGATGAGGAAAGGATTCTGGATTAGCAGGAGGAGCTGCTGCCCATGGCAGAAGCTGTTGAACCTTTTACTGAAGTTTCCAATCAGCTTGTTTATGAAGTCAACATAGGGAGAAACATCTCTCTCACCCTGAATCTGTTCCTGCAGTTTTGGCGAAGTGTTCACACTCTCCTTCGAGATCTTTGAAAATGTCCAGCTTCCTCTGGAAAGAGCAAACAGCTGTCATCAAATCAGCAACTGAATTGTTCTGGCCCTGCAGCTTTAAATTGAGCTCATTAAGATGTGATGTAATGTCAACCAAAAAGGCAANGCTTTCACGCCAACACTACAAAAACAACAAAACCAGCTAAACTCTAAGGAGAAACGCTGCTATGCCTAACTGGGGAAAATAGCTTTAGCTCCAAATAATTACACACCAGCATGTCAACACTTACCCCCTTCTTGGTCAAGCGGGTCTTCAAATCCACAACTCCAACCATGCTCTTCTTAACAGAAACACAGGTACATACCAACCACGCCACTGATTGGTCCATCCACGCAGACTGCCTGGGAAACCCCTACAATCAATGGCACCTGGACATACTTCAACACAAAAAGAATAATTGATTAAATGCAACCAAACAAACACTGAGATCTGTGCATGTGTCGGCATCTGTAGCTGTCTGTCTGTGCTCTCCCTAACCCGCGATTTTAAACTGATTTATTTTAACTTTTAAATGACTTCTAAGCTATCTGCTTGGACAGTGGTCAGTAGTTTTTAATTATCTCCTTTTAATCGAATATTATCTTTTAATCACTGGATGTCCAAGCATTCAGGGTTTTAACAGCCAGACACTACCCGGCCTGCTTGACAGGTGGGAAAACTTCCGCCAGCTGACAGCACAGCGATACATCTATGGCTACATCTATGCACCCCGATGTGAACCCCCAGCTTAAAAAAGCAAACAAAAAGATTGCTGACCTGAAAGAGGACATTCACCGGCTCTCTGTTGAGCTAAATGACAAATCCTCCATGCTGACCGCCCTCCAGGAGGTGGCTCATGAACAGTTGCTCCAGATCGCCTCACTCAGGGCAGCCCTTCAGGTCACGATGCACTGGGATCCTAGCGCTTGGCCTCCCCCATCCTCCAGCTCGACACAGAGTTACCACTGGTCCTGGGTGGAGGTGGTCAGCAGGGGTAAAAGAGCCCCTGACTGTGCTGCCCCACCTCTGCGCCTCAGCCTGTCAAACTGCTACAGCGCCTTGGCATTGAACGGTGATCCAGACGCTGGCCCTACAGACGCTGCCGCTGCGGCTCCTTCCCCGCCGACCGGTGCTTATCCAGCCGCTCCCCACTTGGAGGGGTCGACCTCGGTGTCCCACGGCGCTGTGAATCCCTCTCAGTGTCTCTGCTGCAGGACCCGACCATCAGCTCCCTTCCCGGGCATTGGCTTTTGTGACGCGTTGGAGGCTCCTAAAAGAGGCTGTACTAAGACGCTCCGGAGGACTCCTCTCCCACAGCTGGGATAACGTTTGTCCTGCTGGGGCTGGGACCGCCGAGTCACTGCAACACCTGCCCCCCCAGTCACGCAGCATGGACCGTCCACCTGCCTCATGTGAGTCCCCAATCCCCATCCTGTTCCTCTTCATCCTCTGTTTCCTCCTTCTACTGTGTTGGTTGGGGACTGTATCATCAGGAGTATTTGTTTTTTTCAATGCCACAACTCACTGCTTTCCTGGAGCCACAGTTCCGGTCATCCTTGACAAACTTCCAGAACTGCTTAATTCACTCCCTTCCTCCATAAACCGACTGATTTTTCATTTGGGCTCGAATGTCATGGCCCGCCAGGCAATCAGAGCTGATAAAAATGGATTTTGTTGCTCTTTTAACCTTTTAAAAAACTGTGGAAAGTCTGTTTTTATCAGCGGCCCCCTGCCAACACTATCCTGCGGTGCACAACGCTTCAGCAGGCTCCTCGCCCTCAATTCCTGGACCCAGACTGCCTGTAGCACTTATGGATTTACTTTTATCGACAATTTTAACTTATTTTGGAACCGGTCCTCTTTTTACAGGGCTTACGGTCTCCATCTGAGCAGGCTGGACAGCCGTATGTTAACGGCTAACATTCAGCACACTGTACAGTGTGCCCCATGTGACTGACTGTTGTGTACATCAGAAGCACACGCCCCCTGCCTTTCTCCGTGTTCCACCCCCAATCCATTCCCACATCCATAAGCATCCCAGTCAGAATCTCAAATAGATTAAATAGACCAGTTTCACCATGGACCAATAGCAACCCAAAAAACTTAGTTCCTATCACACCTGCTTCAAACTCACTACATTGTGACGATGAGTGCATGTTCGGCACGAACATTAACTTGGCCGTGCTGAATGTACGCTCTAAATAAAACTTTTATCATAAATGACCTGATTTTAGATAACAAGTTGGACTGTATTCTATTAACAGAAACATGGCTTGGCACTGACGCACCAGTTGTTCTCACTGAGGCTTGCCCACCAAATTTTATTTTTTTTTATTTTCTACCAGGGGAGGTAAAAGAGGAGGCGGAACTGCTTCAGTCACTAAAAATACACTTAACTCAAATGAAGTTTCTTTTAACAGCTACACATCATTTGAGTATCATGTCTTTGTTTTTAGCAGTCCTCCTACTCTTTGCATCACTGTTTACAGACCACCCCACCATTTCACCTCTTTTACCACTGAATTCTCCTAATTATTAACAATCATACACACCACCTATAACAGAACTTTAATAACTGGTGATTTTAATTTACATGTGGATAATAACTCTGATCCGATGTCCAGAGAATTTTTAAACCTTTTAACCTGCATGGATTTTAAACAACATGTCACACAGCCTACTCACAACAGAGGACACACCCTGGACCTGGTCATAACCTGTGGTCTGTCCACTGGTGTATCCTCTATTGTTGACCTGGCTGTGTCTGACCACTACTGTGTGTATTTTAACATCACCAGTTTTAGCCATCAGGAGGCCCCGGTGAGAACGGTGAGGAAACGCTACCTAACTTCTGAAGTGGCTGCAAATTTTATTGTGATTTTACAGAGCACCCCTGCTGAAATTTTACCTGCACCTGTGATTTTATCGTGGAAAATTTTAACAGTAAACACTTGACTCAGTGGCTCCACTTTTAACAAAAACCATGGAGGTGAAGAAAAACTGCCAGTTCACTATGAAATAGTATGTGATCAACTCAAATCCTACAATACAACAGTCAAACAGGCAAGAGAATTCCACTTTTCAAAACTCATTTCCGATCATAAAAACGACCATAAATTCCTTTTCTCCACCTTTGATCTTTTAACCAACACCAATTTTAATAAATAATCCAAGACGTAAACAGGCGAGGACTTTGCAGACCACTTCAGAAGTAAAATCGAAGATATCAGATCCAGTCTTTTATCCCAACATACTGTCATTTTTAACACACCTGAACAGCTGCTTTTACCTGAGGAAACACTGGAGAGTTTTGCCCTGGTTGTCACGAGGACACTTGGTCGAGTCTTCTCCCAGGTAAACCCAACAACCTGTGTAGTGTAAAGAGTTAATTCCAAATCAAGTAAAAGTGTTACTTGTTGAAGTTGATTAAAAAATAAAACCATATAATCATCATATAACCATGTTTTATGTATAAGATCTTATAAAACCGGTTGAAATGCATCCATATGTGTTAAAGCATTGTTATACATGTAAAAGTGTTCACAAATTGGAGTTATAAGTCGACATTGTATTCACATTACAGAGCACACACGTAACGTATCATGTTCTATATAATGATAAGCACACACACATTCACATGTCTGTACTACCTGATGCACATTTAAAAGTTTATATTGTATAAGAGCACAAGGGACTGCATAAAGAAAGTCCCTAAGATTCACATGTTTTTTAAAAATAAAGTGAAAGCAAATCCAAAGCTAAGGGTGAAAAGTTTGGGAACTTCCAGGCTCAAAGTGAAAGTAATACACCATTAAAATCGGGCCTGTTCATGATTGGACAAAAAGAAAAAGCTTGCCACCAATAGCTTTGCATTGAAGAGGGATGGATTAGCGAAAGAAGGTGGAGACTCTCCCCAGTCTCCACCAGCATAAAAGCAGACGCACGGAGAGCTGTTTTTCAGTCCAGTCCCGGGGCTTGACTCACTGAGTTGTATGTGTTGAAGCTTGTGAACACATTAAACTCGATTGCATTGGACTCTGTCTGTCTCCAGTGATTCTTTGAGTATTATCTAGCTGACTCCAAGGTATCAGATCTACATCAAAGGGAAACAGTAAAGTCAGGTGGAGGACGAGGTCGGGGGCCTGCAGGCCCACTTCCAGGCACCCACCTTTTCCACTACAACTGGCGAGCACAGCCAGGGGGGAAGGACGTTCGGAGCCAGAGACCGGGAGCACTGGGCTGTACGCCAGACACACAGGTGGCCACCAAACAAGGTAAGCAGAGCCTTTTTCTGTCTAAACCGGGTGTGTCTGGGGTGCAGTGCTGGGAGCCGCCCAGGTCAAAGGTATCTGACAAATTCCTCTCCTAAAGAACCTACTTATGATGATGAATGTTGATTTAAGTATAATGCATTGATTAATCTAATTATGACAAATTAATTGAATTGGAAAGTAGTTAAAGGTATCATTACAAAGGCAATTAACATCACTGGAGACGGTTGGGGTCTGCTGCAATAGTATGATCGTGGAGCGGAAAGAGCGAATGAGTGTTGAATGTATGAACTAACAAGCAGTATGTATGTATGGAACAACAAGTAGTAAGATAGGCTAAGGTATTTAAAGTATTTAAAGTATTAAAGAGCATTAAGAGAAGTGCACAAGAGAAAAAGAAACCTGTAAGAGTAAAACAGGAAAGAGAAAAAGAAACCGGTAATCAAGAGTTGAAAAAAGCAAAAGTGAAAATAGAGATACAAAAACCCATCCGTGGATACCGCTGCCTATCCTTTCAGCGCACCTTTAAGCCTGTAGGGGCAGGTGTGCTGTGTTGGACGGTAGGTCTACACAGGCGGAGAAGGGGTTAACAGAGACACTAAGCTTTTGTGGATACCGCTGTTTAAAGGGTGATCTCTCAGCCAAGAGGGCAGAAGAATCGCCATAGATAAACAGAACTGTACGGGCAGAGAGCATTAAAGGGTTAAAAAGAAACAGAAAAGAAAAAAAAAAAAGTTGTCAGATCGATCAAATGTGTAAAATTTGTACAAATCTAACTGTGAGCTATAAAATTGCTGTGCATACATTGTAAGGTAATATATCTA